TTTAGACACATGCGAGCGGGAAATCGAGGCACGGGTCACTGGCTCGTTACGACGAGAGATGCGATCGGAAAGAGTTGGAAGCGGGTTGGTCGCTGGGACGATGGCAAACAGTGTTGCGCCACAGGCTGTGCGTGTGTACCTATGTGTGTAGCCCCCGTGAGTGAGTCATATCCGACTGCGTGCGTGAGTCAAATCGAGTCACTCGGGAGTTAAGCACTACTAGGACGAGATGTATGGGCATCCTACTATCTGGTTTGCTTTATGTGTCGGCTCTGGTTCTAGCTCTCTGGTACTTGTGGGTGAGCCTACATGTGTATGTGGATGTGCTTGGGTAGAGCGGCTAGAGTCAAAGCTGATTTAACTGACCGATGTGTCGAAAGCCATCATGGATCTGGCCATAGTTGCTCAGGGCACGGCAAGCCGCCAAGCACTTGTCCGTAGTGAAGTTGTTGTGATCTCTGCTCTGTAAGCTGATGAGGGTGTTTCTTCAGTGCTTGGAATGGTCACAGCCGACGAGGATCGACCTCTCGGACGGCTTTAGGTCGATCTCTGCTGGCTCGACGTCCTCGGTGGGCTCGCGAGCCCCCAAGGGTGACTTCTTCGATTTCGGCTCGCTGTAGCTTCTGACCAGGGAGGCTCTTGCGTTCTGGTGCTTGAGCCTTCGTGGCGTCACGCCATCGCGGTCATCGCATCCCCGCCTCTGGGTGCGGTTGGTGCTCTTGACAAAGAGCTGGTGTGATCTGCCACCGTGGAAGCGGGTTCTAAGGGCTACATGGTTCGGTCCACTCGACGCAACACGCAGCGCACTCATAAAGCTCGCCTCCTCAGATGCATGTGCCTCCAAATGAAGGTTGACAGTTTGCTGTAACGTGACGAGTGGCTCGTCCACTGTGTAGGACCTGGTCCTGGCTCCAGGCTTGGCCTTGCGAGGGATGGCGTCAAATAGCCACCCGATCAATAATGACGACGACGCGTGGCGGAGGGTGATTTTGTCATTTGTGCATGCCCTGACACGCTGCGCTCCACTGGTTGTGGAGGCGCTGCTCGGGTCATGGCTCTACCGCCGGATCCAGGCTTCCCACGCGGTTGACCTAGACGGAGTAGAAGCTGGTGATGGGTGCTAACCCATTGGTTTGAGCGATCTTGTGGTTCCCTAGAAGGATGTGGCCACTGCGGGCCATTCCTCGGTGAGCTCGCCATGAGCCACGGGCCTCTGGCTTCCTAGGCTTTGGCCGTGGCCAGTGAAGAGACAGGGTGCTGATCCCCTTATGTAGGTGAACTCTAGGATGCAGCCCCCGAGGGTAGTTCCGAGAGTGTGTCCGCCGTGGACCGTCGAATCTAGATCTCCAGGGTGGAGGTCCGGGCCTTAGCTCAAGGCAGATGCGAGCACTGGCCCTTTAACGGCGATGAACTAGTAGTTTTCATTGCGGATGTGGCCATCGTGTGCCATTCCACGAGCGAGTCCACCGGTGGTGCAAGGAGCCATCACTTCCTTCTCAACAAATAAGAGTGCGCGACTATCCCTTACTAGCCACGCCAACTGTCGGTGTTTTGTAAATCGGACTAGTAAATTTATACGGTTGCCGCACTACTCTAGGAAGACGATGATAGCATCCTAAAGACACGAGGAGCTATACTGGTTCAGGTCGGAGCCCTACGTCTAGTCTCAGAGATGATCGAGTGCGTGTTTCTCATTTGAATGCTTTGAAGTTCTTACAATGGGGGTGCAAGAATGGTGGAAGAGGTTGGAGAGCTAGAGCTAGGAGATGGACTGTCTAAAGAGAAGCTCCAGGAGCCTTGCTACGATGGAGAATGAGTAAAATGGTAGAGGATGAGAATGTCTGGAGATGGTGCCCTGGCTGCCATTATATAGAGTTCGGGGCTAGGGCATTTACAAAGCAGTAGGTTCTCCTGACCGAAAGGTCATGAGTCTGAGGGAGGGCCTAGCTACCTTGGCTTGCAAGCTACGCCGTCTTGAGGTACACGTCCGAGAGTGGTTGTCGTCATGGTCTTGTGGCCACGTCACTGTATGGTGTGGTGTGGTGTGGTGCTACTGTGCCGGGCGTGGCAGCACTGTAGGCATGCTGGTGGTTCGCTAGCTGTCCTGTGCGGCGTGGTTTCCGCCGTGGTCTTCGTCATCATCTCCTGGTTTCCCGGGGCGTCGTACATGAGTTTGTAGCCACCCCTAGGTCGTCGATACCAGGTTAGCTTGAGGAGCTAAGGGCCACGATCCCAATTGCTGGGGTCGTGGCTTCGTTGATCTGGATAGCCTCTAAGTCAAGGATCTCGTCGTGGATCCCATCCCGTAGTGGGTGGAGTTTTACCTTCGTCTTGTCGGACCGTATTTGGACAGTGGGTTCCGTACCGGTCGTCACCGTCGTGCAGTGTTGTCTTGTCTGTGTAGTGTGGCACAGGGATGGCATCTGACCGGACCGAGGTGACCGCTGTCCCCTCGGTCCTTGCGGGGTTAGTGCGGCGTGCTTGTTCTTGTCAAAGCAGGCACGCTTGGCTGGGCTCGACCTCTCCCCGTTCCCTCCGGGGATCGTGATGGGGGAGAGGTCATGCGCCTTTCGAGCGTCGTGCGTCTAAGGCAAGAGAAAGGGGTCGTGGCTAACCCCGGCCTTAACGTCCGGCCTGGTTTGCTTGGTTTAGCTGGGCCTCGGTCATTCGGGCCTTCGCTAGTTGAGATTTTGCGGGCCGCGTGACCTGCTAACTAATCGATGCCTTGAGATGTTATGACCCCGACACATAGCTTGCAACGAAATCAGTTGCACATCCTCGTCATGCACGTGTTTAAGAGAAACGGAATCTGTTGATAGAGATCAAGAGGGATGGAAAACAGCTGTAACTCTTCCCTGCTCTCATGAAAAATAAATAAAAACTGGACGCAGGACAAAAGAAAAATAAAATAGAAACAAAACCAACAAACTTCTCGTGGTATAGAAGGTAAGATTAGAGTAAGATAAGGTTTGCCTAATTTTAATTTTTATTATTTTTCTATTTAGATTTGGATTCCTATTTAGCTTAGGATTCGTAATCTATGTCCAAGCCATGCATATTATGCCATATAAAAAAACATGAGGCCGTCAAGAGACCACCATAGAATTCCACATTCACGTAGTTAGTTAGAGGAGGACCATACCGAAAAAAAATGGGAGAGAAATTGTGCCTCTTTAATATTAGGTATAGATATTTTTTTTCCCAGTGTTACTTGATCTATTCTATCCACCAGGAGGCATACTCTAGTCCGTTATGATTTCCGCTGTTCAACGAGTCAATCAATAATCTCAACTTTAAGCAAATATATAAGAGTGATAATGAAGTTTATGATGCGCAATAAATATTGTTAAATATATTTTTTTATAAAGTTAGATAAACAAATATTGATAATATTTTTTTTATAAATTTACATCAACTTACTAAAGATTGGCTTAGCTCAAACCTAAATTTTTTTAGTTAGGGATAGGGGTACTACTAGTATGCTTTACCTTTGTGTGCGCACAAGCGGCCACACTAAGGGCATCAAACTGTATCGATTTCATCAACCTTAAGGCTGACCTAGATTTCTTGGGGTTAGTTTTCATACATTACAACATTAGTTAAGCCAAGAATTCATATGGTCAGGTCTTAGGCTTAAGACCCGCCCTTATGGAACAAAAAATTAGAAAGATCGTAAGCTCAAGGTGAATCAACATACTGATTACTGAAGTCGACATGGCCTCATCTTTCTTCTTGCACCTCTTGATCTGCTGAAAGCTCCACTAGCATCGAGAAGAACCTACCCTGGTGCATTGAGAAGAACCTACCCGTTGCATCAGATCCTCCACTCACCCCTCTATGATGTCGTTGGGTCCATGGGAGTAGTCCTCGACTGGGGTAGGGGTATAAGGCGGCGGTGCTAAGGTAGGGGCAGAAGTGTCGGCGCCACTGATAGAGGCAGGAGGCGTTGCTACGAGTAAGGGCAAGAGACGGCAGCGCTAGCGCAGTGACAGGAGCGGTGGCGGTGGTGAGTGAAATAGGCAGGGACGTCGAGGGGTGGGAGATGAAGAGATGATTAGAAATTTTTTTTTTATCTTTGAGTAGGACCCGTCTTATGGCCGAACTCAGCTATTATACGACAGAGGTTGGCCTCCTAATACGTAGAACTCATCTTAAGATCATTGCATGGCATAACTTTAACAGTGACATTCGGGTATACTCGTTTTTCATTTTTTATTTCCATGCGTGGATAACAGAACGAATAACAGAGAGCGGACATTTTGGCTCTGTTCGCTGGTTTAAACTTGGCTGAAACTGGCTGGTTTTGTAAGAGAAAAACACTGTAGCGGCTGGTTGATGAACAGTGTCTTGTGAGGGGTCAGCCGGCTGATCTGGACCATCCAGACCAGCGAACGCGCCCTTTAGCTCCACCCACTTCGCCATGTGCAACTAGGAAGGCGAAACCAAAGCCGTTCTTCTCTCACACGAGACACGAGCGAAATGCGAACACAATAGAATAGTAGAATAGATCCGTGTTGATGTAAATCCGGGCCCGTGCGTGCTTACACACCGGACTTAGTATTACCCAAAACAAGCAGAATTGAAGAAGGCACCGAGCGCGCGCTCTTCGTTTCGTTTGGTTTGGTTTAAACCCCCACGAGGCCACGACACGAGGGAGACGGAGAATGACGCGTACAGTGACGACACACGGGTGACGCTGTGCTCCGTGACGCGACCCACGCGCGTGGCTTCTCGTATCCCGACCGGTCACGGCACGTCGGGGTCGCGCTCCACTTTTTTCCACTTAATTGCGTCACAATTTTCACGACGCCCCGGCCCGTCGTCCACCCTTCAGCGGCTTCGCCCCTTCCGGCCTTCCCCTATAAACCACGCCCTTCCCGCGGAAAGCATTCGTGGCGATCCGAGTGTCCTGATTCCATCCTACACTCCTCCTGACCTCCATCCTACACGAGCACTGCAGGCTCGCTTACGCGGAGAGACAGACGCCGCGCAGGTCATCGATGCTGCTCATGGACTCGGCGCGCCGCGCCGGCTGCTCCCCGGTCTGCTTGGACCTCAGCGTCGGCCTTTCGCCGTCGTCGCCGGGGAGCAGCCCGGAAACGACAGCTGACACCGAGAGGCTTGACCGTCCGCCCGCCGCTGGCTGCAGGGTGACATCGTCCCTGTCTGAGGACCAGGTAACTGACTGACCAGACCGACCGTGCCTGCCTGTCTTCCTCGCCGCTCCATCGGCTTCCTTGCTTCGCGTCGTCCGGTCCCTGAATCTATCGGTGGTGTGACTGTGACAGGCCAAGACTCTGGAGGCCAGGCTCACCCAGGTCAGCGAGGAGAACCGGCGGCTCACCGAGATGATCGCCTACCTCTACGCCAGCCAGGTTGCGCGGCAGAGCCCCGACAGCAGCAGGAAGAGGAGCAGGGACAGCCTGGAGCCGTCAAATTCGAGCGACGCCAACGGCAACGGCAACGGCAGCGGCAACACCAAGGCCGAGCCCGACCATGCCGTCGAGAGCGCCCTCAGCGACGAGGGCACGTGCAGGCGGATCAAGGTCACCAGGGTCTGCACCCGGATCGACCCCGCCGACACCACGCTCGCCGTCAAAGACGGCTACCAATGGCGAAAGTACGGCCAGAAGGTGACCCGCGACAACCCGTCCCCGAGAGCCTACTTCCGCTGCGCATACGCGCCCTCCTGCCCCGTCAAGAAGAAGGTACTAATTTAATTTCACGCATTTTCGCGGTGATCGATCGTCGGCCGCCTCATTACGGCGACTTCTTTTTCAGTCTGTAGCTAATGATACAGTAACTCTGTTCCTTGGAACAGGTGCAGAGGAGCGCGGAGGACAGCTCCTTGCTGGTGGCCACGTACGAGGGCGAGCACAACCACCCGAGCCCGACGCGCGCCGGCGAGCTTCCCATCGCCGCCTCCGCCACGGCGAGCGGGCCAGTGCCGTGCTCCATCTCCATCAACTCCTCCGGCCCGACCATCACGCTGGACCTCACCAAGAACGGAGGGGGCGGCGTGCGGGTGCTCGACGCCGCCGAGGCGCCCGACCTCAAGAAGCTGTGCCAGGAGATCGCATCGCCGGATTTCCGGACGGCGCTGGTGGATCAGATGGCGCGCTCGCTGACCAAGGATCCCAAGTTCACCGACGCGCTGGCTGCCGCGATCCTGCAACAACTGCCGGAGTACTAGTGCGGTAGTGCCTAGCGTCCCCGTCTTTAGTACTTCAAAGTGTCCGTCTTCGAAGAGCGGTTCTTTCATCATCAGGAAAGAGAAACCTTGGTAGGAACAGTTTTACGTTTACTGAGATTAGAGCCAAATCTCCCTCAAATCTATATTCGTAATTTGAAGTGTCTTTGTTCTGGTTAGGATCTGAACTGTACTAGCACTGTACATTTCACATGTCCATAGACCATAGTTCCATCACGAATTTAAATAAGGGCCATTATCAAATATGACAACAGCTTTCTTTTATCTGAATTTGATCCGTCTAGGCATCTATGACCAAAATTGCACTACGATTTCCGCATAAAATACATCCTCCACAAGATTTATCCTCAACATCTTACGGTGTTTGGAGTACAGTTTGATTAAAGTATGTGGGGTGATTAATTAGTTTGAATATAGCCACAAGCTTGAAATGCATCTTTTGCTCAAATCGTGATTCTGATTTGATCTCATTTGTATGTTTTACTTTTTTTTTATGCAGAAGTCGACATTCTCAAAGTATATGCAACAACCAATTGATTCAATATCTGTGTTTTACATTCGTACAACATTTGTACAATATCTTTGTTTTCCATTTGTACAATAATTTAAGATCCAATATCGACTCCATTCAACGAGGAAGAGGTTAAAATGACAGTTTTTATATAGAACATAACAAAGCACCTGGTCTAGATAGTTTTTCCGCTGAATTTTACCAATTCTTTTGGAAGGTTGTAAAGCCGGATTTAATGAACCTTTTTTATGAATTCCATGCTGGAGAGGCTGCCTATTCATATCCTAAATTTTGGAGTAATTACATTACTACCAAAGATTGTTGATGCGGCCCAAATACAACAATATAGGACAATATGTTTATTAAATATCACCTTTAAGATTTTTACGAAAGTGCTAAACAATAGAATTTTGAAAGTGGCAGATAAGCTGATAGGACTGTCGCAGACGGCCTTTTATCCCGGGTCGCTATATCATGGAAGGAGTTGTGATGTTGCATGAAACAATTCATGAGTTGCATAGGAAAAAACAAAATGGCATGATCTTAAAACTAGACTTTGAAAAAGCATACGACAAATTAAAGTGGCCTTTTATACAACAGGTCCTCGGAATGAAAAGATTCTCACCAATTTGGTTTGAATGGATTTCAAAAGTCATGTGTAGAGGGAGTGTTGCACTAAAGATCAATGATAATATAAGCCATTATTTTCAAACTAGGAAAGGAGTGCGGCAGGGGATCCATTATCTCCAATCATGTTTAATATAGTGGTTGACATGCTGGCTATCCTTATTTCACGAGCTAATGAGGCTGAACAAATTCAAGAGGTTGTTTTGCATTTGGTAGATGAGGGACTTTCAGTCCTTCAATATGCAGATAACACTATTATCTTTATGGACAATGAACTAGAGAGGGCTAAAAACATGAAACTTTTACTTTGTGCTTTTGAACAGCTATCAAGACTCAAGATCAATTTCCATAAAAGCGAAATGTTTTGCTATGAGTAGCCAAAGCCAATCAAAACAAATATGCACAATTTTTTAGTGTGATTTGGGGTCGTTCCCATTTAGGTATCTAGGAATTCCTATGCATCATAGAAAACTCATGAATAAGGACTGAAAAATATTGAAGAAAGATTTCAAAAGAGGCTGAATTGTTGGACAAGTAAGATGTTGGTAGGAGGGAAGCTTGTTCTAATTAACTCTGTTTTGAATAGTCTCTCCATGTTCATGCTTTCTTTTTTTTAAATACCTAGAGGGGTTCTGAAGAAGTTGGATTATTTTAGGTCACGGTTTTTTAGCAGATTGATGAACACACGAAAAAATATAGATTGACTAAGAGGGAGGTATTGGGAGTCCTAAATTTAGATGTTCATAACAACTGTCTCCTAAGCAAATGGCTTTTTAAGTTGCTGAATGGAGATGGGGTTTGGCAACAATTGCTTAGGAATAAATATCTAAGGGACAAAACTTTGACGCAGTTTCAATACATGCCCGGGGACTCCCAGTTTTGGGCTGGCCTCATGAAGGACAAGGGGGAATTTTTCTCGTTGGACAAGTTTGATCTAGGTGACGAGTCTCAAGTGCGATTTTGGGAGGACTCATGGATAAGACCACGTCCACTAAAATCTCGCTTTCCCGTACTATATAATATTGTTAGGAGAAAAGATGCATATGTAAGAATGGTGTTGTCTATGACACCGTTAAACGTGGCTTTCAGGAGATCTCTAGTAGATGTTAATTTACAAGCGTGGCACGATGTAGTCGCTATGGTTGCAGATGTACAGTTAACAAATCAAAGGGATCGCTTTATGTGGGGACTTCATCAGAATGGGTTGTTTTCAGTCAAATCCATGTACAGAGCCTTATTAGGAGCCGAAGCTGTACCATATAGCATATTAATCTGGAAACTAAAACTACCTCTCAAAATCAAAGTCTTTATGTGGTATTTGTACAAGGGAGTAATCTTAACAAAGGATAATTTAGCACGGCGGTAGTGGCAAGGAGATAGAAAGTGTTGTTTCTGTTCTTCGGACGAGTCTATACAACATTTACTCTTTGACTGTCATTTTGCTAAATTCATATGGCGAATTGTTCATGTTTCCTTTAATTTAATATCTCTAACTAGCGTACACAATTTATTTATAGGCTGGTTAGAAGGAATAAATAGAAAACTGAAATCTCATATTTTTTTGGGTGCAAGTGCAATTTGTTGGGTGATATGGTTAACCCAAAATGATATAGTTTTTGACAAGGTCCCAGCACCATCTTATTTGCAGGTTATCTTCAGAGGAACCTACTAGACCAGGTCTTGGTCCCTATTACAAGAGGAGGAGGATCATCAAATGATGAAGATAGGATGCAGGAATATTGAGGCAACCGCGATGAAGGTGTTTGTAAGACACGGTTGGAGATTTAGCAGTATAATTGCTTTATAGATATCGATTTTGGAAACGTTTCTTTTATTCCCTGTGGCTCAAAACTTTGTTTTTGAGATTCCATGGACCATAGTGCTTGTGTTTGTAATAAGAAACAACTATATACATTGGTCGATGCAGAAGCTGAGATATCAATATATTCTTTTTTTAAAAAAAGATCCAATATCGGCTTAACCCAATTAATTCGGTCATCCCCATGTTCTATCATTTGTAATGTGTAAAATTATGCAACCTTCGTCCGGGATCGATTGCACAACAGAATCCATAGTTTAATACAAGTTCACATCACACTAAAAGTACTTAAATTTACATCAAATGTTTTCTTCCACACTTAGTTTAGCACAAAGCACATATCCATACATCAGAGTTCTACTACTGAAAGCTTAACATACTCCCTATGTCCCTTTATATTTGTCGCTATGGAAAATGTGAGTCAATCTTTTCCAACTTTGACTAAGTTTATACATAAATTTACTATGAAAATATATTCAACGATCTATCTAATGATACTAAGTATATACCGTAAACATTAATATTTTCTTGTATAAATTTTATCAAAGTTGAGTACGCTTGACTTTTCCGTCAGTAAAATGGTAGATAAAAATGGACGGATGGAGTAAGTTTGATACATTCTTATGGCGCATGCCACACCAATAAGCTACATCTCACATCGAGGGCACCCTAGTACTCCAAACTGTCGAGGGATTGGGGCGTAGAAATATCCATAACTAGGAAAGTCCTCACCTGCAAAACTCCAACCGTAGTATCATGAGCATACAGGTGTACTTAGTATGACTTATTATGACTTATAAATAAGTAATAAAAAAGAATTATGTACTTAGCATTAGTAAGAAATAAAAGTTGGTTTTATGTTTATACGAAAGAGTAAAGTTGTCTATGCTCTAACCATAAGCATGGCATAGTTTAACAGTTATGAGCAACAAGCAAGTGAAGCTCGACCTCCCACGAGTCTTTCCACAAATTAACTCTACTCAGAAGCTAGAAGACATGAGCAAGATCATGATAAAGTAACTTTGTAGAGGGGTATATGTTTTACCCACGAAACACCTCACAAGCCCATACGGCTTGTCGGTGCATAACGAGTAACTCGAGCATTGACCTTTCTCCAATCCGACCAAATAGTCTATTTAGTATTCCCTCCATTCTAACATTTTAGGTTTTAGATACATAACTTTTGCTATGAATATAGATATACACTATGCCTAGATACATAGTAAAAAAAATGTATCTAGAAAAATCAAAACTTATTATAATTGTCTATTTATAGGTTCATATTACATTTATATTGTTAATAAGAAACTAAAGTTGAATTATTTTTTGAATGCAATATTAGATGAAGGGTATGTTTGGATAAAGGGCTAATTACTAGCTAGCTAAAATTAGTCAAATTAGCTCTAGCGCATCCACACAGAAGGGTTAATAGATGAGCTAATTTTTATAGACAAGTATTTAACTTGTTGTTAGCCAACTAGCTAATCAACCTTGATTAATTTAAGCTAATTTTAAGCCTAACAAGTAAATAGTCCTAACCCTAGCTCATCAAACAGGCCCTTAATCAGACCATCCTAGTTTAAATCCCTCAATACCCATGGCCACTACCGACGCTAGAGCCGAGGTCCCTACGGGAACCTCCAAGAGGCAACCACCATCCATCCCCCGTGGGTGAGCCAAATCAATGAAACTAATATGGAAGAAAAGAATTTAGGATAGATTTTTGTTTAGAATAGTCCGATATAAAAACATTAGGAAATTAATGGCCTGTTTGGACCCATTAACTACTAATAGTTAGCTAGTTAATATGTTATAACTATTATTAGCTGCTATTGGCTATTTTGGTTTAACTACTAAAATAGTTATTAGTTGATTATAATTAGCTATAATCTGTTTGAATCCACATAACTAATCATTAGCAGCTAATTACCATCTCAACAGGGCCTACATTTAGGAGAACTCTAATCTAGTCTCAAGCGGGCCCCTGACAAAGAGGGTTCACTCACTTCCCGCCGAAATCTGTAC